TATTTAATTTGTGCCGGTACAATCAAAATAGCCCTCCTTAGGAAAAATCCTAAGGGGTTGCTGTATACACAGACTAGACAATTGGTTATTTATCAGTTAGCTGGTATGAGAAAAAAGATCTTGCACTACCTGTTTTGCCTTGTGCGACATGTCAGACATGTGATCAAGCACATGTGTAATTTGGATTAACCTTTTAGCACACAAAGATACCACATAATGGTCTCCCTTTTCCTCTAATTTGAATCATTAGGCTGAATAGCCTGTCCTGTGGGGAACAGGGAGATTGCTTTTCTCGAGATTCTCGGCGTATCACTCAGAAATGACCACAAACTCAGATAAAGTTTAAAAGCCTTTAATTTATTTTAAAGAATGACATCAAATATATAGAAACTGACAAAAGCTGGACATTAGTTTATGAAATAGGCCACTGTCGATATATCCATTGACGTCATGTCCTGAGAACACGAGGAAGAAGAGTGATGACTTTCGTTTCTTCTGGTTTTCTTGGCCTGGCTATGAGTTTGAATAATAGCACGATATATCAAAGTGACCCCATTCATACCGAAGCCCCTACAATATTTTATCTTACTCCTGCCATTCAAAAATTTATTATTATCATTATAAAATGAAGCAATATTATTATGTAAATACGCAATATGTATTAAACGAATAAATGTATAGTTGTATAAATTAACCATTGAAACGTTCTTGCTGGTGCTGACTTCGTTCCTGGCGTATGAGCCATTAAGTAAAAGAATTATATAAATTATGCAGATCGAGGGTGGGTATCGGATGAACGCCGAGGTGGATAACTTCTTTCGCCTCTCTGACCCTGATTGTCTGCCTTTAGAGAATAGTGTGTTATATATACTGACTTCCAAACCAGACCTTAGCTGTAGAAATTGTAACAAAGGTTCCTGCATTGCTTATTGTATTGGCAGCATTGGTCGGAAATGGAATGTTATTTTTTTCCGAACTGCCCTGATAATCCGAATCTTCACTTTTCATACCCAGACGTGGGTTTCCCAAGTGATCTGCTAATGACACTATTTGAAAGAACACAAAAATCTAAACTATAATCACTATAATTATTATTCAACACCAGCAAAGGTCTCTACAATAATTAAGCTTTTTTTCTTCTACCGCCGCAATATTGTTATGGTGAACCGAAGTGCCTTTTATCACCTTACTCCTGATGTCACCTTTTTGAGTCAAAAGTTCGTTTCTCCAACACATGACATGACATGTTTATAGTGAGTGGCAATGTTGTTATCTAACCTAGCCGATTGAAACGTTCGTAACATTGACTTGTAGCCACGGAATTATGTGGTAGGTTAATATCTGGTGTCTGAGGAAGTGTGAAGGCTATGATCAGTCACACTATACCGGAAATTCCTTGCACCGACACGAAATAATACCGGATTTTCCTTTTGTCAGTATATATAGAAGAACGGTGATTTTCCGGCTATTTCTGTTGGGCCATCCCAATAAAATGTTTCGTTTCCCATCGCCCTCCCCTTCGTGAAGGTGGGTTGGTCGGTCGGGCAAAATAAAAAAGAATGATCACATGGTTGCATATGAAATCTCACGTTTAGTCTGCAAGATAGAATCGGATGGTAAAAGATGTATATTAACAGGACTATCAAATGTCTAAAGAGGCTACAAAAACGAAGTATCGATGATAATTTAAGACAACTGGTGTTAATAAGACAAGATCGTGTGCTTGTAAATTAAAGTACTTGTTTCTTTACAAATGATTTTGGAATTTTTTTTCTTTTTTACTTTTCCAAAAAAATGGGTCGGTCGGGCGATGGGAAACGAAGCATTAAATTGGGATGGCCTTAACGAACGAAACTGCGCCGCCGCCGATCTTGAAAAGTGGATCATCACATATCGTATAGGTCTCTGTCATTTCTCGTCGCAGTGTGAATAGTTTTTCAAGTAAAATGAATAGGGGCTGGGAGCCAGTGATATGAAAGTAAATGTTAGGAGAGAGGACTGGGATTTAGTACACCAAACTGGTCTCTCGGCCAACCGGCCGCTTTGGTGCGATCTCAGGTAAATTAAGGCATGGGTCAACAGCCATTTTCCTGTGAAAATGAGGGGGGGTGGTCTATAATATGAATGGTTTATCATGAAGCAGAAAATACCAAAAAATATTACACAACACCAAAATTGATGCTTTAAAACAGACCAAAATTATGCAAATTAGGTCACGTGACCTTACAGCTCCTCAAAGTTTCAAAATATCTTTAGGAAAAAATGGGCACACTTTTTAGCAAGAGTTATCTTACTTTACTACCCTAAGAAGATACAAAATATAAGCCGCTACAAAACTGTGCTTGGCAACTTTCAAATATCTCATCTATTTTGAAAATAAGCGGGTTTTTCGACTAGTACCCAGTCTCCCAATACAAATGTATCATTTTAACATGCCTTTCCTTTGAAAACTCTTGACATTGCCAAGCGCAGAAATGACACACTTAACGGCCTTAAAATTATGAAACTAGTAGAAAAATGAAGGAAACAAGAAAAAGTGTGCCCATTTAAGTTCAAGGGTTTTTCGGGCGTGGCGTGTCACGTGACCTTATTTGCATAATTGAAGCATACCAAATAGATAAAAACTAGCTGTTTATGTGTCTGACAAGTTTTCAGCTTGCCACTGCTAATGTATCGAAAGATAGACCACCCCCATACTTTTTTACTTAACACCTGGGGACCCATGCCTTAATTACCTTGAGATGTTCTATATGTGTGGACGACTTGTTCCAGTTCTACACTGTTGTCGTTCATACTACCGGATACATTTTCATGTCTACACGAAAATCTATTTCCAGTATAGTGTGGACAGACTAAAAAAGTAAAAGAAGCAATCCGAACTACTAACAACTTAATAGTCAGTTGTAGAGAATGAACCGATTGTTAAGTCCCTACAATTGTTATATTACCAGTGCTATTCAGTATTTTCTCGATGTCTTTCAAATGAAATTAAATATTATTAGGTATCTTATTGTAATAACTCATTAAACAGTTGTGATCGTCATCTCAGTCCTGTTCCTTGCTTGGCGAGGGAACTCCCATATGAAAATGACAGGGTTGCCCGTCTCTCTTAGACGTAGACATTGCAGTTTTTGGTCTCACTTTGGCTGTGCAATACAAAAAGCCAATATTTTAAACCATAAATGTATCACTTAACCCCCTGCAAACGGACGTAACCGTGTTGGCCAACAACTCGCAACGTTGTTTAAACTTTGCCGTTGTTACGTCCGTTTGCGCGTAGCTTTAGGTTGTGCGTAAAGAAATAGGGAGCTTTAGCAACGAGGACGGCAACGGCAACCAGGACGTCAAAAAAGCAATACGTTTATTACGCAAAACAACAACTTTGCACGTGCATCACGCTTTTTTGTACATTTCTTTACCGTCCTTGCAAGACTACGACGTGAAAATGCCTAATTGCAAGTTTTATGGAGGACGTAAACAAGCGACGACGAATCTCTTTTTCTCTCTCTAAACTTGAGTGCGGTCCTCAAGTAATCAACTCCAGGAAAATTCGCCTACATTTTCCATTTTCAGCAAATTGGAATAAACGCGACAAAGATTGAAGAAACGGGAATTCATTTTAAAACTGACCTTTTCGCTACCGTTGCCGTCGTCGATACTAAAGCTCCCTAATATCTACTATGAAAAGACGTTGTCATAAGTCAGAGTTAGAGTGTTCTACTTTTGGCTGTCATTTGTGATCGTAACTGAGGAGACTGGTTATGAATACTGGCAAACAATAAAGATGAAAACAACGTTGTTTAGTTTATGGGTATAGTTTCTTGGTGTTGCAGACGGTGCAACTACAATTATTAATCTACTTATCCGTCGAGCATTACCCTATGCTTTCATATTAGAGCTTCCCTCTCACCCCCTCCCCCCCCACTATAACAATCTAAAGAAAAAGAGGGTGCTTTGACAAAAATTAAACCATAGAGACCCTACAGAAATTACAGCTTCGTATCAAGAGTACTAGCTTTACTGGTGTTAGTGGCGGATGCCTCACGGTAACATGGCTGGTTCTGATCCAGTAGTCTGAAATAATAGTAAGGGGTATCTTCTGTCATCATCTCTTCCAGTATCGGTACTAGTTGAACGAATGAGGGTCGTTCATTTGGATCCTCCTTCCAACAGTCCATCGTCAATTTGTATCTGTTGAAAAAGGAATACATAGTTTAAAATACCGCTACACAAGGATATGTCTCCATTTACTTTGAATATTGAAGACACTTATGTTCTATAGGCTCTTTTTATAATGGGGCAATGTAAAGGAAAGAGGCGCGCTGAAGTTTCCACTCCTTGGAAAAGGCTGACAATTTTAGAAAAAAAAAAAACTCTCTGTAGTACTATGTGTATATTTCTTCATCGTGCCCTCTATTCGGAGGTCTTTTATTATTTCTATTCAGACTTACATTTCATCGCTGCACGTGTTGGGTTTCTCCATGCGATATCCAGATTTAAGTAAACTGCATAGCCTCATAGGGCTTATCCCAGGGTATGGAGTACCCCCTAAAATAACAAAATAAAGATCAATGCTGTCTTATCAAAGATTATCAGGCTTTTCTAATTTTTCATTTTGAAATTGCACGTCCTCTTTCTTTAAGGTCTATCATTCGGCTCCATTCAGAAAAGTACCCCAGATGACAGTCTTTATAATTCTCTTCTTCAGGCAAAGGCTAGCTAGCTGAAGGCTTTTGTCCAGCGGCAGTTCTTTTTTCTTAGTAAACGCGTTTTCGGGCTATTCTCGATCTAATTTATTTTTCACAGGATCCATCCTGTGTAATGAGGCTCCCAAGGTAGTTAAAGTGCGATGATTCTTGACTTAATTGTCTACCCTCAAGAAAGATCGTGAATTCCTCACCAGGCCTCTTACAGATTTTCTTCACCTTAGTCTTCTTAACATTGATCTTCATATCATATTCCCCCGCGCTTTCCTGCATTTTACCCATCATAAGTTGAAGATTTTTAACTGAACTGGCTAAGGTTGCTTGATCATCCGCAAAGCGCACTGTCTTGAGATAACTTCCCACTCGAATACCTTCATTCACACCCCTCAAAGCATCTCTTAGCATGGCCTCAGAATATATGTTAACGAACATGGGGGATAACGAGATAACTTATCTCGTGCCACGGCCAATCACTGCTGGTACGGGTTAAATTCTGCGATTTCAAAATGGCTGTAATAAAGTGATAATTCAACTTCGTGTCGTGCAATTTTAGTCTGAAATGATACTTCTAATCTCAAATCGAACTCGCACGCGAAATCACGCGATGATTTCAGACCAAAGTGCTCTCCACTCAGTTCAATGACCATCATGTTATATCATTTTACCAACCTCCAGGTGGGTTTAAAATAACGTAATGTACAAGTTTACCATTACTGAGAATTCATTTCGCCAAGTGACACTTGATATCAGGTCAAGTTGTGGTTAAGGGTATGACTTATAGGCTGGATTGTTATGAGCCTGCGCTCCTCCCCGGTAAAGACGACTGAGAGAGCTGCGGACATGAGCCTATTATTTTTTCTAGTTGTTTAGCAATCACGACATTATGCCAGAATGGCCTCTTTTATAAAGCGGTTCAAATCTCCTGTGACTGCGATCCTAAAACCGAACAGTAATCTTTTCTCTAACTACTTTCTTGGAGGATTCCTCTCAATTCCCTCGCGTATAGGAAAATGACAAGTAAGAGTATTATTCTACCAGCATCAATATACAAAGATTTTTAAAACCAGCTTACCCATGGTGGCTAGTTCCCACAAAACAACTCCAAAAGACCACCTGCAATAAAAGGAAGCAGATAAAGAAATAGCAAGAATTAAATTTCATAGAAACATCAATTTTGTTTATCTCGCCCAATCGAAGGTGATACAGATTGTGGAATCCTGGAAGTTTTTGCTCGGAATCATGGACCTTGGAATCCGGAATCCTGCTAACTATGAAATTCTGGAATCTAGGCGTTTTGAAAGCTGGAATACACTGAGTTGGAATCCGGAATCCAGTATCTGGAATGCGGGATGTGGAGTGTGGAATCTAAGATCTAAGGTGGTCTCAGATTAACTTCATCGGCTCAAAGTTTCTATTTATATCTCATATTTTCAAGTTTCACGCGTGGAACAGGCTAATGTTTTCCAAATACTTGAGTATTCCTTGAGAGATAGAGTGATAACCGCTACTATAAGCAGTGTCAAAATTGTGCTCTTTTTTTTTTTTCAGACAGTTCTAAACATTGCAGGGTCTATGTTATCTCGAACCTCAACGTCACACTGCATCACAAGAAGCCCAAGCTTGGCCTAACAGTGACCTTCTTAACATATCTTATACTTACACGTCAGTCTTGAAAGTAAAAATGCCGCTTTCCAACGCTTCAGGTGCCATCCATTTCATTGGTAGCTTGTGTACGCTCGTAACTTCGTATATCTCACTCTCATTTGCATGGCGTAACAAACCAAAATCAGCGATCTTCACCGCTCTGTCCTCACCAAGTAGGATATTACGGGCTGCCAGGTCACGATGAATGAATCCTTTGCTGGCCAAGTATTCCTGGCACAGAAATAACGAAATTATTTCTCAAACATTTTAAGTTACCAGATACCTTTAGATCAACACAAATTTCCATTTTGATTGGTCAATATGAAAGTAGAATGGAACCTCGATTTTACGATATGGCAGGGGGATAGCAGTTTAATCGGGATATCGTTCTAAATGAACTCCCGACTGATTTAACGATTTGACGGAAAGGCAACCAAGTGGAAAGAAACGTCTGTTCCAGGCTCAAAGATGGCCCGCCACCGCCCCCTTTTCAACTCTAGATCACGCGTTTATATTTTTGCCGGTGCCTTACGCTTACACGACATCCCCGCTATCGAGAGCCTGGAAAAGCCTGGCAAACGGTCCGGAAAGCGGGAGGAAGTGATCGTGGGTCTATTCATGAAGAATGGAAGGAGGATTTCCGTCACAGCTGTTGGAAAACGAAGAAACAAATCATGGAATTGGCCAAGAAAACCCCGCAACGTATTCTTTTCAGCAAAAAAAGCCGTTAAAGTTGAACAAGCTAAGTGAACTACAGTCGACTCCCGATAACTCGAACCCTCGCTAACTCAAACCTTGTGCTAACTCGAACCAAAATCGATTTCCCCTGGATTTCCTTCATACATTTACCGTAATTTTACCCTCGGTAACTCGAACCCTCGATAACTCGAAACTCCCGCTAACTCGAAGTAATTTTTGTTTCCCTTCATATCACTTCCAGACAATTTTACCCTCGATAACTCGAGGGGATGAATATTGGCTGAAAAATAAGGTTTTTAAGTTTTTCAACCGCGGAAGAAAGCCCGTTGACACCTGTTGACACTTAATTAAATGCTGTTTTTCAGGGAGACTTGGGGTGAGTGGAATGAAGCCCTCCGTGGAATACCAGGCCGGAAAAAGAAATCTTTTAAATATGGGCAAGAGGCAGATTTCTGTGCTTTGCAAATGATGACTAAATTGCTCAAGGCATTCTTCAGTCGAAAAAATTCTTACCATCCCTTTAGCAATCTGCCACGCATAACATAGAACTTCTTTCCCAGAACTGTCTTCTTCATCATCTTCCTTGCCCTCACAGCTGCTTTCTTCTTTCTCGATGGTGATCTTTTCTTCGACGTTTCTTAAGGGCTCAGCAAGAGTGAGCTCTTTTTCTTTGGAGAAATGGGCAATACTGATCGAAGGTAACACCATCACCGACGCAACCGACCCCTTTCGCCCTTCATTTTGTAGAAATGACGTGTTGACATCGTCACTTTCTTCTTCCTCCTTGTCACCTTCGAAGCCCAGGTTTAAGCAAGAAGGTTCCATCTCAGATCGAGGAGCATCGTTGATTAGAATTCCTCTTTCAACGTCGTCCAGGTCGATTTTAATTTCCTTCTTCTCGCTGGAATGATAACCACCGTCTTTTCCACTTTCTTCATTCTTTTTTCCCCTGTTCTCCTCTTCCACGTTTTCATCCAGGACATCTTTTGTTTGCAGGTTCCTGGACACCAATTTCGGTCTCTCAGGAACAGGAGGCTTAAGCCTTTCAACGACATCACTTTGCTGACTCTTTTTCATTGTAAGCTGCAAAAAAATATTGAAATGAATTCCGTCTGATCATGAAACGGTTTTGTCAGCAGAAACAATTTCAACACTATCAGTTGGTTAGCCGAAGTATTTTCCCCAATTTAAAAGGAATCCATGTGAATTGAAAGATTGATTTACTTAACCGACGTTAAACTGAAAATCTAGCCGGGAATACCTTATGGGCCAGCTTTCTTTAAAGCGTCCACGGAAAATTCAAATGGATTAAACGTCATATCTCGTACAGGGCTTTCGGGACGTGTAATGTGTAATTTACAACACTGTTTGGGGGACTTTGCCAGACCGCTTAAGGTGCATTTTACAAGTAATGAAGGAATGAGTAATGATGCCCCCATACATGAGTGTGAAAGTGAGATAAACCACTACACCGGCCACTACGTGCCCTACTCTTCACAAAGAGCAGGTGTGTGGGTTCTTTAACGTCCCACAGATTTATTACATGTGCAAGGGCTTGTCAAACGGTGCCTACGGTTTATCGTCCTTATCCGAGAAGACCAGAAAGTCAAACCGTTTGCAGTTGTTATACAAAGGCAGCACTTTCTCCTCAGTTCTTTAAAGACCCTGGGTGTTGTTCGATCCCGCCGGGGTTTGAACCTACGGCCTCCCGCCCCGGGGAGGGGGGGGGGTACTCCCATACATTACCTATACGGGTATGTGCCGCCCAAAGGGGTCGTGATTTTGAAGCTCCTGATTTAGAACGGGGTATCCATTTCAGAGGCGTTTTCTAGAACGGGGTATAATATTTCGAACGCACGAAAGCTCCACTTTTGTAAGCAGCCACTGAAAGTAGTCAAGGACAGATTGCTTTTAAAAATACGGTTCAATGCGTTAACAAGCAAACCGTTGTACTCTTGTAGCACCCTAGAACGGAGTATAAAAAATTGGCCCATTTCTAGAACGGGGTATCAGTTTTACGGCGAATTCTAGAACGGGGTATAAAAAATTGGCCCATTTCTAGAACGGGGTATCAATTTAAGGGGAAATTTTTTCTAGAACGGGGTGCCATTTTGGAGTCCCGGGCGGCACATACCCACCCAAAAAATACCCAAGTGCCCCCCCCGGGCCTCCCGCTCAGCAGACGGTGGCGGTTTTGAAACTCTGGACGGACAATTATTATGTCCACCAAAACATTTTGAAGGGTCTTTTAAAAAGAAACTTTTCTACTGCTTCGGTCGGGGGGGTGAAAAGCAAAACTCTGGTGTTATCGGCTGATTTGAATAACTCATCTTGCTACTATTGAAAGACCGTGGATCGAAAAGCTGACTAGCATTTTGAGTGGAAGCCCTTTGTCAGCTCGAATCAAGGACGGTTCATCAAATGGCGGACCTCAACTGTTGGTGAATACATGGGAAAATGAGAAAAGAAACAAGTAAATTACTAGAATGAAAAGCGTTCGTTGAAGTAAACTATTCTTGTCCTGTTACCATGTTCAAACAATAGAGTAGCTCCACCATTAGTAATCCCGTGATTCATTCTGACCAGAAAAGGTTAATGCCCACCTGGGGGGAGGGGGGTACTTTAAAAAATTTCGAATAGTTTAGACAAGCGAAAACCAATATCATATTAAAGACCCAAACATGGAAAATGAGGCCCAGTTCAAGGGAAAAACAAAACCTAAGAATTAAAGGAAACAGAAAAAAACTTCCTTGAATCGCGCTCCTAATCAGCTCTAGGGTAAAGTTCAGTTTTAACAGATCTGTGATTTGTTTCTCATGTGTTGGGCATTAACGCACATGAATTTTACTTGACAGAATAACGGTACCATATTTAAGGATGGAGATCCTCATCCTATCGGGCGGGGGTACCCCCAGGGGTAAACGTTCAAAATGTCGTTTTGTTTTCTTTTCTGACCACCTTTCCCTCTCCTAAGACAACATTAACACTACCTTCTCACTCAGGGCAAAATGTGGCTTAGGGAGGGATAGGAACCAGTTTCAAAACCTTAACTGATCGTACCAGGGCAAGCTTGGCTTAATTAATTCAGCGTTGAATACAAATTTTTGTGTATTTATCGATCTTTGTTTTCCGAATACATGAATAGCATCTAAACAGTCTGGCTGTATAAACCGCGTTTGGAAAAATACGAATATCCGGTTGCATTGATATCTACATTCAGTTATTGCACCTCTGTCTTTGAGAACTTAAATTATAGGTAACATGTACAAATTCTCACTTCAAGTTGTTTAGCATCTTATTATTTTTACTGAAGACGATGGTTTTTAGACGTGTGATGAGGGAGAGGATTTTCCTTCTGCGTTAAGAGACCACACAATGTAAGAAAAAGAACATACACGCCCAGAACGATGTTCATTAGAAAATTAAAGTGCAGCACAGAATACTAATGACGTCAGAGTGACTAATTTGCCATGTTTGTCTGAAATCTGCCATTTTTGTTATTTTCACGTCAAAAGTCAGACAAACTTGACATTTTAATGACAAAAAGACAAACAAAATTGAGGAATTCGTTTGTCTGAGTTTGAGTTCTATGAATAATATCTGTGCGCAGCCCTATTCCGAATGGAGAGAAGATATTTTTTAAACAAAAGGCAAAAAAGAGGCCAGCAAATTTTTATTGATACAGCTGATAAAGTAATGATACCTGTTGCCTTTTGTTTCTGAGCCACTGAAGAAGATCTCCGTTTGGAATATATTCCAAGATTAACATGATGGGATGTGATTGGATCCAGTAGCCGAGCATGCTCACAATATTACGGTGTGTTCCGACTTCCTTCATCAACTCAATTTCCCGAACTAACTGCCGTTTGTCCTCTTCCGTGGCATTTTCTAAAAAAACAAAAGACATTTAAAGAAAATCCAGGTAACAGTGTACGTAAATGCTACACGATATCAGTTACTAATAAAAAACTAAAACGAGATGTAGAGAAAAAAAGAACTAATTAAAATGAAAGTATATTTAACCTATGAAAATATAACACAGTCAATTGCTCAGGTCCTAATTTCTGCTTGAGAAAAAATCTATTCGTTAAAAAATTGGTTCCCTGAGTTAAGTGAGTAGATAAAACAAAGTCTCAAAGAAAAACCGTTAGTTCTCTTCATCTAGCGATCACCAAGCACGACATGGAACATGATGTAATACTGGAAGATCTTATAGTCCGGAAACTTGTCTCTTTAATTCTAGACGTCAAGTTTTGTGTTCTTTAATTGCTTCCCTATTCTCGTCCCACGGGTATTCTATCTCCAGTAATATGACTTTCCTTGAGTGTACATTTGTAATCCTAACGCATCTATCCAATTGGCTCATTTTCATTGACTCTGCATAGACAGGGACATTCCAATATGCTTTTGTAGTTGAGTTTCACCGAGGGTTTTCGGCTCACCGTCATCGTCGTCAAATAAATGTTTTAAACTTAAACGACTAGAAAGCAGTACCTCGTAACACTGACAAAAAAAAATTGTTAAACAAAACTACGAAATGAAAATAACGCTTAGAGGTTTTTAAAGCTTTAAGATTACTCTTAGAAGAACGAATATTCAAACTCCATTTTACACTGTATGTGCTCTGGAGAATCATTCCAAAGTTTAGGGGCACAAAACGAAAAAGCATGATCGTCCGATAAAAGTTTTAGCCTTGATCTGGGTGTCACTAATTAACAAGTTCATGGTTGATGATCGTGAACTCCTAACAGACATGTAAGTTTGAAACAAATGACGATTACAGCTCGGACATGAATGATTTAAAATCCGCTACTCATGCTCTAAGTAAAGCTGCAGTAATGTGGTCATATTTGCAACCACATACGATCAGATAAAGTTCTCAAGTGACTGAATAACGTATTTCGAAAGATCACATAAGAGAACGACCAATCTACACATTACGAAGGAATGCACTAACATTTTGAATTGGTTTAAAGAGATAATCTCTTATCATGTCACAGCTCTGAGAAGTGATCATGCAGCCTGCTCTGTTTTGCATTTTTTATATCTGTGTGGTTTTGTTGAAAGGTGCCCGCTCGGTTTTTGCTTGAACACGGGCATCGATTTAAGCGCTATATACTTTTTAGTACGTTTAAATAATGTGACATAAACTCGAGCCTGTCTAAGACCACTTATAACACGACCAACCTTGCAGCACACCTTATCAATGTTCTGATCTCACTGAAGGTTTTTGTGTCTACAGTAATTTATTCACTGCAAATCGTGTGGTAAATTGCAAACATTCAGGGAGGTCATTAATATAAGTAGAAAACAAAATTTAGATCTAAAATGGGCCCCTGAGGTACATCACAATGTTACCGACTGGGGCATTGAGATGCTGTTTTCCACGATATAATGTTTGCTATCTATTGGATTAAATATTCAAACCTGTTACAAGAGAGGCTCTCTTGCCTGTTATTAATAAGAATCACTCCCGTGAATAGCGTTTGCTGAAAGAGTAAGTTATCTTTTTGCCATATTCTGAACTCACACACCTGGTAGAACTTTTGTAGCAACAATACGTCCCTCATGCGAATCCAAACGGTGATCCTTGTGTTTGGAGGATGTATTCTTTTCAGGTAACCCCCTCATCACGCTCTTATAAACTCTTCCAAAAGCGCCTCGTCCCAGTTCCTCCATGATAGTAACCCGCTCGTGTGGGACTTCCAGCAACATAAACTCAGCAATGTCAGACTCACTGGATCAAAGTGCAAATTAAATGTCAATGAAATTTCTCGTAATTAATCATGGGCTTGTGGTAACGCTTAAATCAGGGACGGCTTCCTAGTTGATACTATTTAGTCAAAAGTTACATTGCCTTGGCCTGTAAGAAAGGTCACTTGTGGCTTGGGAGTGAGTACGACACCAGATAGACATGCCCAGACACTTTACCATGGAACAATTCAGCAACAAAGAATAATATTCTAAATTTGAGTGATATTATCATTTGAATGAAATACCGTTTATCATTCCTCTTTGCTCTCTTACGGCAGACAATTATCCCCACCACCACAGCAGAAAGAGCCACGGAAACTCCCAGCATTATCCAGGCAATCTTTGCAGTATCATTTTTGGCGATAGGGGAGCCTCCTGTAGGATCATTTTTGCCAATGAAACCGCCTGACTTTTATTGGAAGATGCTGTCTGGTCACTGAGGGAAAAAAGCAATCGTTAATGCTAAGAACTGTAACAGTTATACACATCATTGAAAAAGTAGCTTTAATGTTTAAGTAGCACCCGGGGCGGCTTATTTAAGAGATGGGAGCTCTTCTTTGAAAGGGATCACTTCGTTCTTCAGAATTTGAAAGCCTGGAAAATTACATGGTATATGACGATGAACCCTTGGCTGTTGAAGAATGGTTAAAAAGTAAGAAGAAGTTAAAAAAAATGATAAGCTAGAGCGTGTACTACGGGTTTAAAGAGAACTACGGGTCAGTTCAGTTGCTGAGTGCCGGCAGATCATTTCGTACGATCGCGTGAAGAAGTAAGCTTATGTAAATAATCGAATAGCTGCTTGTTTGGCGGCATGATTGCTATGATGTATGAGGAGAGTTGTTAGCATTGGCTATAAAAAAGCGGTATTTTTGGATGATTCTAGTTACCCTGAATGTAACGTACGTATGTTCAGGATTAGGGCACCTGTTTAGGATTCGTTCGATTAACCTTGTTCTGGAATACAAATATATACGAATGGCGTATAATCTTATTTTTTTTATTGTTCTCATCATTCCTATTATATTTCGGAGAGCGTAAATCAGAATAATTACAATAACAAGAGTAATGGCAGACGTTTTCGGTGAAGCGAAAAGGTAACAAGAAGGGCAAAAATTAAACGCATTTGGTTTGTCAGCGGTATTAGCAGAACAACAACTTTGCACGTGCAACACTCATTTTTAACTCGTGGGTACGCGCGAGCGTACCACGAGTTATTGCAGGGACTGAGATATGCAAATGAGTCACTCACTCACTCGTAGTAGACGCACTTCGTAATTAATCGGGTCCGAACTCGAGAGCGCGAAGATCTATCGTTTCCAAAGAAGCACGCGCTCGCCGAAGTTCGGTAGCATCAAATTCCTCCCTGCGAACGTGCATCGTGCGCTACAGCACGGTTAGGATAGAGGTCTTACCAAATTAAGACAGGCAGGAATCTTTCAAATTACACTCTTTTTTTTTATAAGAATATATTTTATAAGAATATCGAGGCTGAGATTTGCGAAATTTTAAGAATATTTTAAGAATAAAGCCGAGGCTGAGATTTTGAAAAGGATAGATATAATTTTGTGTGAAGAAACATCTGTAAATACAATACAATTTTATGTTTTTAACTTAACCGTATAAAATTATTTCTTTTCTCTGAACGGCGAAACTAGCCTACAAAACGAAAAAACCTGCACTAGCTATAGCAAAATGTTCAACGCTAATGACAGTTCGATGAACGGTACATGTAATACATATGTACAGTATTCAGTACAAAAGACATAAACTAAACCGCAAAAAAGTATTATGACAAATTCTTTCCTTTTTAAATAACAAAACCTTGCGAAAACAAAAACAGCACTAGGCTTTATTGCTGACTGCAACGAAAAGCGATGGAGCACGTGCACAATGTAACGCGATACAGATCTAGATACCAAACACTTGTAATTGATACCCCAATAAATTCTCAAACGGAAATGTCATAATCTATAATTTAAGAATAATACAAGAATATTTTCAGCCTAAAATCGGCAGAAAAATAAGAATATTCAGCCTGGGCCGGAAAAACAACATTCTTATAAAAAAAAAAGAGTGTAGTACGATTCAAAAGCCTTTGACCCGTCCAGGCGTTAAACTTGACAAGAAGATGAGCATTTGCTCTTCGACTCCTTCAACTTCGACGCTGGCTTGATCTCGTACCTTGTAGTACTGTAGTAGGTTATGTGTATCAATGAATTTATGGCGGTCAGTATAAAACAGGGAATGCGAACTACCGACTGCGGACTGGGTATAAAATACGGACTGGTGAAATGTATGGTAAATAAAGGCACTTCTTCTTCTTCTTCTTCTTCTTCTTCTTCTTCTTCTTCTTCTTCTTCTTCTTCTTCTTCTTCTTCTTCTTCTTCTTCTTCTTCTTCTTCTTCTTCTTCTTCTTCTTCTTCTTCTTCTTCTTCTTCTTCTTCTTCTTCTTCTTCTTCTTCTTCTTCTTCTTCTTCTTCTTCTTCTTCTTCTTCTTCTTCTTCTTCTTCTTCTTCTTCTTCTTCTTCTTCTTCTTCTTCTTCTTCTTCTTCTTCTTCTTCTTCTTCTTCTTCTTCTTCTTCTTCTTCTTCTTCTTCTTCTTCTTCTTCTTCTTCTTCTTCTTCTTCTTCTTCTTCTTCTTCTTCTTCTTCTTCTTCTTCTTCTTCTTCTTCTTCTTCTTCTTCTTCTTCTTCTTCTTCTTCTTCTTCTTCTTCTTCTTCTTCTTCTTCTTCTTCTTCTTCTTCTTCTTCTTCTTCTTCTTCTTCTTCTTCTTCTTCTTCTTCTTCTTCTTCTTCTTCTTCTTCTTCTTCGTCTTCTTCTTCTTCTTCTTCTTCTTCTTCTTCTTCTTCTTCTTCTTCTTCTTCTTCTTCTTCTTCTTCTTCTTCTTCTTCTTCTTCTTCTTCTTCTTCTTCTTCTTCTTCTTCTTCTTCTTCTTCTTCTTCTTCTTCTTCTTCTTCTTCTTCTTCTTCTTCTTCTTCTTCTTCTTCTTCTTCTTCTTCTTCTTCTTCTTCTTCTTCTTCTTCTTCTTCTTCTTCTTCTTCTTCTTCTTCTTCTTCTTCTTCTTCTTCTTCTTCTTCTTCTTCTTCTTCTTCTTCTTCTTCTTCTTCTTCTTCTTCTTCTTCTTCTTCTTCTTCTTCTTCTTCTTCTTCTTCTTCTTCTTCTTCTTCTTCTTCTTCTTCTTCTTCTTCTTCTTCTTCTTCTTCTTCTTCTTCTTCTTCTTCTTCTTCTTCTTCTTCTTCTTCTTCTTCTTCTTCTTCTTCTTCTTCTTCTTCTTCTTCTTCTTCTTCTTCTTCTTCTTCTTCTTCTTCTTCTTCTTCTTCTTCTTCTTCTTCTTCTTCTTCTTCTTCTTCTTCTTCTTCTTCTTCTTCTTCTTCTTCTTCTTCTTCTTCTTCTTCTTCTTCTTCTTCTTCTTCTTCTTCTTCTTCTTCTTCTTCTTCTTCTTCTTCTTCTTCTTCTTCTTCTTCTTCTTCTTAAGGACTCCCCAAGATCACGGGGGGAAATGGATGTGAGTTTGAGCATTACCTTTTTAAAATAACAGCGGATGTCGACATAAGAAAACATAAGCTAATGTTTTGCGTCCTACTTCGCGGACGAGTTGTGTCGGCTTTGTATCGCATATGTTCTTTCATTGCCATGAAATGCGTTTACATTGTTTTTTACTGTCAGTAGCCTGGTTTCAATTAGCCTTAATTTCATCCCATTCCTTCGAGTCGTTTTTATGGCTCGGTTGTTTGCCCCGGTCGTTTGCCGGCGGAAGTTCCATATAAAGAGCATTAAATTTGAAAGTTTGTCATGTGACATACTCAATGGCGTAGTGGCTATGTGAAGTCGGGTCTTACCGAAGGTACCGGGTTCAAATCCTGCCACAGACCTTCTTGTTCCCTTCTTCCTTTTTTATTCGTTTTTGTTTTGTCTCGTTTGCTTATTTGTTTTGCTGTTTTTTTTGTTTTGTTTTTAAATATATACTTAAATAACTGTTACTAAAGTGCAATAAACAGCAAGAAAAGTATCGTGTTTCCAGAACAAGGATAGTATATTTATAATATATGGGGAACAGGAAAATGAAAAATGGGAACAAAACCTAACTTCAACCCTAGCCCACTCGGTAAATTCATTTCCAATTCTCTGTTTGTTCCCCACTTTTCATTTTCCCGTTCCCCTTGCTCTCGTTCTCTGCTCCCCTTTCCCCGTTTTAGTAACGTTCCGGTTCTTCGCCGTCATTATACGACCACGGCGTGAGACTGCCAAGTTTTACGTTTATGTGGATTTGAACACATGAGAGCGATTTTCTTTTCCAAACTGATATACAATTCTTTAGAATTTAACCCTTATGAATATCGGCCAACATTTCGCAACTTAAACGAAATGGACCCGAAGTAAGAGCGATAAAGTTTGAAAAAGCGTGAGTTCGGTTTTTAAGTGACGTTTTCGCCGCTGTCGCCGTCGTAGCTGCTGAAGCTCCCGGGGCTCTCCTCATGAAAAGGTTTACTGGAGCAGATGAAAGACGTATTTCCTTACACGAGGAAATTAAATCAAAGAAGCTATTTCTCAGTCACCATATCCTCCAATTTTGAGCAGCTTCCAGAACTTTCCAAATTAAGTTATTTTTCCAGGAAAAAGGCAAATGATAATCATATGACAATTTTCGTCCGTCAAATCTTTCTTTAGAATTTCCTCTACAAAGGAAAAATAAACAAACAAAACAAAACGAAACAAAACGTAACAAAATGAACCAAAAAACAATAATTTATCTCCTGTCAACAATATGAATTATTGCATTGACGTCATCTCTGTAATATCTTTGAAAACAGAACGATCGTTGAACGATCGAGATGGCCATGAAAAATGTAAACATAAAACGTCATGACAGGCTATTTGAAGGAGAACGATCGCTAAAAGTATGAAAATTACAGATTAGCTTCCCATAAGCGGAGGCTTATCTGTTCATTTTTGTTGCTGTTCTTGAAACATCTAAAGACTTTCATGTGGTAGATTCCGTCGTCGTTTGTTTTACTGTCTACGTGGCTTGCTTCTGAGGGAGCAGAAGCGGGTGCCAGCTTCTCTAGAAGTGTACAGTTTATGGGCGTTCGCAGAGGTTTGAGTGATTATGGTTTACACAGGAAGAACGCTTTCATTTTGGTGTCTTTTGTGAAAAATTAAAGCTCACCAAAAGTTCTGTTCCATCTTTAATTACCTTTAATTGTGACATTAAATTTCCGAAAGGTTTTCTGTCCCTTTAGTTTACCTTTAATTGACCTTTTGGTTACATTAAAGACTAATAACCTTTAGGTCTCGTTTTAATTGTCTTTAATTTATTCCAAAATTAGCTATTAAAATGTAGCACCTTTAATTTCAAATTAAAGCAAATTTAAA